AGCCCCAGAGTTCATCTCCATTCCCAAAGCACAGGCTGCCCTCGCGCGGCCCTGCCAGCACACTGCAGCGCGGCGCGGGGAGAAACAGCAACTTAACTTGGCTAAACTGCTCTCTATAAACCAAACAGTATTAACATTCTCTGCGGCAGCTGCTATCGCAGAACAAAGATCTGCAAGGAGCCAGGAGCTCCTTCAGGTACACAAGAGGTTCCACACGGTGAGATGGTGAGCTGGGACTCCTCAGTGGGATGAGACATTTCTTAGGGTGGATGTCACTAAAGATATATAATCTCATATAATGTATAGAAAGTCAGCAGGGAAGGAATTATTTAGTGCATATATTATTAGGCATGTATTATTAGATTGGTGGGTTTAAAAAAATAACTTTAAAGGCATGTTTTCAAACACCAGAAGCAACAGAAATGATTTGGCCAAAGCAGGCTCTAAAAGCCAGAAGATGAATTTTTGACAATTTTTAAAATCAGATAACAACTCAAAATAGGTTTTCAAATAATATCCCTGTGACTACCTCTAAAAGTACTGGAAGAAAAATGAACAGAGCCCAAAAACCCGAGGAGAACAAACACCCATTGAATCTAATTTTTGTAATCCTCACTGAGGAATTACTGGCTGCTCCATACTGAGCTGGCTAATTTTCCTATGACCCTACCTGCCAGTCCTCCACTGAGAATTAAGATGTGTTTGGATGCATCACCTGCTTGGCTTTGCCCCATACTGAATATATCAGGAAGATTCAATTAGAAAAATGTAAAGATGAGGCAGAGCACACAAACTTATTTTTTAACTGGTGAATAATATTTTCTTTACAACTCCTGAAAGAGAGACCCACAAAACATTACAGAAGGTCAAACAACACATTTTGACTGTGTTAACACCAGATCCTGCCTATGGAGAAGTAAGTTATTGGAACATTGGTGTCTATAGAGCACTTATGCAGGGCAATATATCATCTAGCAACCTAATATTAAAAAGAGTTATTCCAGGAACAAGTGCTCGCCAAAATCACATGTGGAACAGCAAGCAAACTCTGCTAGAGCACCAGGGAAGTTGAGTTACTGTATTTGCACATGAGTTCAATTTCAAAATTATGAAACCAACCATAGACAAAACTGTGTAACATAAACAACAGGAAAAATGCTTCCTGTCATAGGAGAACTCCTATGGCAATCTGGAATCTTTTGCATGTAAGATGAACTAACTATATGAACCCCTTTATTTTATGCTATATATTTACTATTTTAAACCCAGTATTTCTACCTAAGAACTGGATAGTATGAATATATTTTATCTAAAGAGCATCAATATATCTTTAGGTAGAACCATCTCTTCAAGTTACCTACTTTCTGCAACAACAGTATTGCATCATGACATTAATAGCTTCCAGATAAAATGAGCTACATTAAATAATTTCTTAATTTTCTCATTAACAGGGATGAATTATTAAATAAGAACTTCCCAGAGCATACCTACATCTGGATTCTATTTACTCTTTTCTGATGTCATGATCCAGCCTAATTCACATCTACTTCAATATATCTTAACAGAGTCACAGAGTCATTTAGGCTGGAAAAGGCCCCTGAAATCATCATGTCCAACTTCTTTGACTGATAACCACCTCGTCAACTAGCCCATGGCACTAAGTCCATTCATTTCTTGAACACTTCCAGGGATGGTGACTCCACGACCTCCCTGGGCAGCCCATTCCAATGCTTGACAACCCCTTCACTGAAAAATTCCTCCTGATGTCCAGCCTGAACCTGTCCTGGGACAGCTCTGGAACTCTACATAAGGCTGTGAATATAAGTACAACTCTCTAAAATAACCAAATACTCCTCTGCTATATCCACTTACTAAGTAAGGGGTGTTTAATTTTAGCTTGTTTAAAAATCAAAGGGTCAACAACTGTATTTCAAAACTGTTTGAGCTTGGACAGTTATTTCAACTCCTATTTGTAGTATAGTATTGTCCTGTATTGGAAGAAGCAGATCAGCAGGTGCTCTGAAGGGAAACAAACACCTGAGTCTGTCCATGTAAATTTCCAGATGATAAATATGAATAATAATTCAGTTGCACTGAAACCTATTCCTTCACTGGCATTCTCTTCACAAATGTGTTTTCTTTATTCCATGGAAAACAGCAGCATGACCATGCAGTCAGACTTCAGAAGGAAAGAAGGCATGAATAAATGTCCTATTCCTGATCTACAAATAATAAGAATGCAAATATTTTATATTTAATTTTGCATAATGTTTTTAAAAACAGGCATCGGTTATTTTAGAAACACACTCCCTCCTTGTTCCACTCAGCTGCAGCCATAAAAACATAAAAACACTTCCTCAGCCAAGAAAGCCATCTATAATGGAACGAAGAATCATGTCATGATTCAGCCTAATTCACATCTAATCCAGCATCTCTAAGAGAATCATAAAGGTTGGGAAAGACCCCCAAGATCATCGAGCTCAACTTTCGATGAGGCACGGCGATATGTATGTGACAATGTTTAGAGGGCCCTCTGTTCCCTGCTGCTGACATAGCTCTCACCGACGAGTC